AACCAACCCAACGGCCCCAAAAAAAAACCCAAAAAATCCCCAATCAATTCCCTTTCTTCCACCTCCCATCTCTATACCTCATCCCTTCCCCCTTCCCCCCGCGTTTCCTCTTCCTCTCTCTCTCCTCTCCTTCTCCCTCGCTCTCTCTCTCTCTCCTGTCTCTCTCTATGGGGCCCCATTCACCCTCTCAGGCTATCTCTCTCTCTCGCTCTCTCTCTCGCTCGCTCTCTGTCTCTCTCTCTCTCTGGGGGGCCCCATTCACCCTCTGGCTAATCTCATTCCTCCCAGGCTGGAAGAGAGAGGAAACGGAGTGTAACTCTACACCTTTACACACACTAGCCCCGACCAGAGAAAGTCACACTTTATATGTTCTCCCTCTATTCCTCTAGCCCTTTATCCCTGTAATTCACTCAAAAGTTATCTCTCTCTCATACTTTCTCTCTCCATTTTACTTTACCTTTCTTTCTCACTACTTCACCTTTTCTTTATTTTTAAAGGCTGTCATGGACAATTTGCTCCAAGTGAAATCCAGTATTGTGCCTTAAACACACACACACACACACAAAACCCTTCAACAATCACGATCTACAATTTTAAACAAGCACCAGATTCTCCAAGAGACACCCCAGCCACACACACACACGCACAACACACACACACACACATGCTCACACACACAGGAAATAATCTCATGTGCTGACCCTGTGCTTGGGGACTATATGGGATTATGTTTCTGAGCTACACAGGTCTCTGGTTAACATCTGACCCACAGCCTGGGGTTGGTTGGTCTTTGTGCTGTAACCTACTCTCCTCCTCTCCTCTGACTAGCAGCTCTCTATGGACTTGGATCTATACTTGTTCTGACTTGAGGAATTTGACATGGCCATTGTACAACTGCCTCTTGTCTTGGAATCATGGAATCATGGAATCATGGAATCATGACTTGAATGACTTAAAATATATAGTGTTCTGTTGATGTATTTTAAACTTTATGTTGCTGTGCTAGTCCAATGGCTCAGCAGATTAGAGAATGAAGACTTGTTGGTTAGTCATTGTATGGTTAGCTCTGTTCTAGTCTTCAACAACAGTTAAATAGTGAAGCCTTCAGTGAGGGAAAGAGAGTATGTCCCAAGTGGAACCTTACTCAATGTACAGTATAGTGAGTGCACTATGGGCCCTGGTCAAAAGTAGTGCACAACAAAGGAAATAGCTTGCCATTTGGGACGCATTCTATGTGTGGAACAGCGATGGATATCTGTTTGACTCTGTCACATGAGGTAGAGTGCAGTACTACATGCCTTCAGGGTGATCAGCCAGACAGAAAGAAATATCGACCTGTAATGTACCAGTACAGAACTGTGACGGAATCATAGAGTTCACAGTGTTACAGGGTTTCTATATAGTAAACATAACTCCAGTACCAATACACTGCCGCTGTCGAGTGTGTGCGTGTGTGTGTGTGTGTGAGAGAGAGAGAGAGAGAGGGATTGAGAGAGAGGATGATGACTGAAGAGGGCAGGAGAGGAGAAGGAGTAGAAGGAGAAAGAGAGAGAGAGGAAAGAGAAAGAGTTCTCGCGAGGAAAGAGGAGAGAGAAGAAAGAGTCCTGGAGGTCAAGGAGTCTGAGAGAGAGGGAGAGAGATGAGAGGAGACGAGGAGAGAGAGGGAGATCGGAGAGCGGAACGAGCGAGATGAGAAGAGAGGAGGAGAGATAGAGAGATAGAGGAGAGGAGAGGAGAAAGAGAGCGAGAGAGTGAGAGGAAAGAGAGAGCGAGAGATAAAAGAGAGAGGGTGTCTCTGTGAGAGAGAGAGAGAGAGAGAGAGAGAGAGAGAGGGGGGGGGGGGGGGGGGGAGAGAGGAGAGCGTATGTCATACAGAGAGAGATAGAGCGTGTCTGTGTGACTGGCTGGTAGAACTGGCACAGACAGCTACATGACCTCATTGCTGGCAGTGGCATTCTCTAAAGCCCCGTTTATACCTGGTTCTAACATGCATCCTTTGTCCTGATCTTGTCCACATTCTGATTGTGCCCACATTTTCAGAAAGGTGTAGATGATTAAAAGACACATTGTGATCTGATTGTGATCACCTTAGGAGGTAGTCAGGCACCGATTGTGTCTGGATATCTTGAAAGTGTAGACGGATCTGGACAGAGAAAACATTTCAATCATCATTATCCTGCCTTCTAAAATCATTGACAGGTGACACCATTGACTTATGGCATCAATGTGTCTTAAAATAAATAAATATTATTCTGAAAGACTAGTCAAATAATTTGCATACAGGGAATCTGGTCACAATGCGAACACAGTGGACCGATACGAGACACATATTCATGTGTAGACATATTTCAAAACATCAGAATATAGACAAGATCAGGACAAAGGACGCATGTTAGCACCAGGTATAAACTAGGCTTAAATGTCCTCCCTTTTTTTCACTGGTGAATGGAGCGGAAAAAAGAAACTACTTCTCTTAAAGAAATATTACATAACCAAGAGTGATAGTAATGATGGGAGTGCGGTGATGTCATGCCCCAGAAACACTCTCTGTTTGTGTCCCAAATGGCACCTTATTCCTTACAAATGCACTACATTTGACCAGAGCCTATAGGGAATAGTGAACCATTTGGGATGGCCTCTCTTGCTGAGTGTGAGAGAACGGAGAGCTCACTGCTAGAGCTGTGAAGAGTTGGGAATGTGTGAGGAGAGTTCGTATATAGCTCACCTATTATTTATATTCTATCAGAAATCATGTACAAGTCATATACAGTACTATGAGGTGATATGCAAGTGATACACTGTCAACTTAACTTAAGATATCAAGTGATATACTGTTAACTTAAGATATCAAGTGATACACTGTTAACTTAAGATATCAAGGGATACACTGTCAACTTAACTTAAGATATCAAGTGATACACTGTCAACTTAACTTAAGATATCAAGTGATAAACTGTTAACTTAAGATATCAAGTGAAAAACTGTCAACTTAACTTAAGATATCAAGTGATACACTGTTAACTTAAAATATTAAGTGTCGTTGATGATTGGCACTTCTTGACCTCTAACTGTTTTCACAGCTGCGAAAGAAGAGAATGAATTTTAAAAAGCAATGATGACATTCTGTTGTATTCCTTTGTTCAGTTCAGTGGTGATATGTTTGATGGAAATGCTTTAAGGCCTTTAAACACCAAGTCCGTTCTTTGGAACAAGTCCGGATTTTGGCCTAAAATAAGGGCATTTAGACATCAGTTTAATTATAATTTAACATTAATTATAATTTAACATTAATTGTAATTTAACATTAATTGTAATTTGATGGTATTAAGTTTTGACAACCTTTCTATTCCTCAGAGGGCTAAAACCATGGGTCACCCTCACCAACACCATCACCAACACCAACACCCAGGAGCTGTCGCCAACAGCAACATGGGTCCCACCATAGGTCACATGATGGAGATGATGTCACCGCGGCAACGACACGCTCACCTGCAGCAGCATCATCAGCACCTGCAGCAGGCTCCGCCCATCTCCTACCAGCAGCACTGCCACGCCCCTCCACATCACCTGGGAAATTCCCACAGCCAGGGGCACCAATCAGGGAACGTGCCGCATCATCAGGTCCACCAATCACCTCCCTCGCACCTGCAGGCCAGCCACACCCACCAAACCTCTCCTCACCTGCCCCTCCCCTCCATAGCTGTTCAGGTACAGTACTACTTATGTGTTGTCATGACAACCACTCTGTATCAAGTTTTGTTAGTTCAACATGAGGGTTAACAAGTGGTTGCCATTATCACAGTTAATCACCACTGTTATGTAATTATTATGACACTAATGTCTAGACCTTATCACAGATTATTAAATGAAGTGTTACAGGTTCTTAGTCAATACTGCGTCATGATGATGGTATGTTGTGCAGTTGTCTCCAGCAACGCAGCAGATGCAGTCATCCCAGCAGACACATTCCCTGCATGCAGGCCAGGCGACTGGAGGACGTCGCAGGAGGTCTGTGGACCAGGACCCAGACGAGCGCAGGCAGAAGTTCCTGGAACGAAACCGAGCTGCGGCCACGCGATGCAGACAGAAGAGGAAGGTCTGGGTGTCTGCTCTGGAGAAGAAAGCAGAGGAGCTCACCCACAACAACATGCAGCTGCAGGTATGTTTATACACACAGGCATACACATACACACACACATACACACACACACATGCACACACACACACACACACACACACACACACACACAGGGACACACTTTAATGCACAGGGACACATATACACACACACACACACACATTGTCACAGTATCACTAATGGCTCTGTCCCTCTGTCCATTCCAGAACGAGGTGACCACTCTGAGGTCAGAGGTTGGCCAGTTGAAGCAGATCCTGCTGACCCATA